ATGTTCAATGTGATTAGTGATCAGGAAGACACAAATAAAAAACCACAATAAGGGACCATGAGTTACTTAGCAGAATGGCTAAAATAAAAAAAAAAAATCGTGACAACACCAAATGCTGGTAAGAATGCAGAGTAACTGGCTCACTCACAGAGCAGAGGAGAGGAGGCTAGCCTAGAAACAGTTTGGCAGTTTCTTAGAAAGTCAAGACGCAACCACCATTGGATCCAGCATTTCAGCTCTTGGGCGTTTATCCCAGAGAAGTGAAAAACGTATGTCCGCCTGAAATACGGGAATGTTCACAGCAGCTCTATTTGAAATTGGCAAAACTGGAAAACCCAAATGTCCTTCCTTAGGTGAATGATTAAAGAAATGGATACATCCACACTAGGAAAGACTACTCAGACTCACTTTCAAAATATCTAAGTATGAAAGGAGGGGATGATTTAAAGAAATGTTATAAAAGTAATCCTATTGTTTGTACACAGTTAAGGCCATGGAGGTGCCATGTAAATGACTAAAATTCAAGGTACTCTACCCTAGAACATGCCCAATTCCCTGCTGTCTCTCTCTAAGGAATGTGAGGACAGGACACACACAAAATTAAAGAACCCCAATAAATACGATCCACATCTTTCCTCTTTTTATTCACACAGAAGGGGGGAGATTCTAGATACTAATACATCCCCTCCTCTGTATGTTAATCTAAAATGAGCAATGGTCATTGGAGCTTGCAGTATCATTAGACAGGGGTTGGGGTGGTTCGGGCAGAGATAGGGCTGGGGGGGTGCATTAGGGAAGAGGCAGTCGCTGATGAAAATAAAGAAGGATTTTCAAGGTCTGCAGCTAAGCCTCAAGCCATCACTGGATAAGCAGGGAAGTGCGAGAAAGTTGTTTGTGTGAAATGGAGTGTAAACTGCAAACGTGTCAGAGAGGTGGAGAGGAAGGGACAGAAGGAGGGACCCACAGAGGAAGCACTGGCCCCCACCCTAAGTGGGAGGCTGTAGGAGTCTGGCGGTCCTTATTTATACAGTACCAGAGAACACTGCAGCTCACACTCCGTGTGCTTGCTGCCTCATCTCCATCAACAGATGGAGGTAATAAAGAGGCTAAAAATGGAAACACGAACTGGTGTGTAGCTTTGTTATGGCAGTTTGTCACAGAACAGTCAAGAATCCCTTGCCGGTAAGCTGTGCTTGTCAAGGTCACCCGTGACCTCTTTGGTGGTATTAAATCTAACAGACACTTGGCTGGACAGGCTGTAGCAAGGCCAGGGAGGCCCATCTCTTGGGGCATGAGGTTGGCCGCTGCCCACTTGCGATCAGCCAGGCACAAGCAATAGTTTGGCTTCCCTGGGGCTTCTGGAGGCCGTTAGTTCCCGCTTTGGTCAATAGCCTATGTAATTAATCAACTTAAAGGGAGTCCTGGTTAGCAATGGTTCTTGACCCTGGCTGCACACCAGAATCACCTAGGGAGCTTTAAAAATAATACCAGGCCTAGACCTCACCCAGGACCAGTCAGTGGGGCTGAATCTAAGCCATTCTTTAAAAGCACCCCAGCTGATTCTCATATGCAGCCCAGCTGAGAGCCAACAGGCTAGATCATTAAGGGGCCAAGTTCAGACACATATGGGGGATGCCAATCTTGTTCGTTCTCTAATCTGTGATCTCCTACCTCTTCCTAGTACATTCTGAATTGGGGTGGAGACACAGAATTGGCATTGAAAGAGCAGGAGACTGTAATTCATTTAAGCAAAAACCAATGGATGCAGTTTTAAGATTGCGTCTAATTTTATTTTAATAAAGCTCTAATGAACCAGCCACCTTATGTGCAAATCTCTGTATGGATCCATAATCTGTTTTCTTGGGATAGATTCTTACTCTGATTAAAAAGGTAAGGATACTTCCTAAAGTTTCAATAATTCAAAAATTATTGGCCAACTTGGTAATAAATTGTTTAATATTATTTTACTTTGTACTTCTTTAATGTTCATTAATTCTGTTTGTATATTATCATTTGTATTTCTTTTTTGAAGTGTCTCTTCATGTGCTTTGACCATTTTTCCATTGTGGTGGTCATTTGTTGCTGATTTTTAAAGACTTTATATATGACAGTATTGATGGTTATTAATATATGGTATATTGATGGTATATTTATTACAGTTTGAATTGTATGTCATGTACAATTGCCAGTATTTTTTCTTGATATGTTTAATTTTGAGACTTTTAGATATAGAAGTATAAATTATGTATGTATGCTAAATTTCCTAGTCTCATCCTCTATGGTATCTTCCACTACTTTTAGGTTCTCAAGTTCCTTTTTATTTTAAATTGTTCTTATAATTACTTTATGACCTAATTTCCAACACTAAATACTTTGATTCATCTGGAATTTCTTTTGGCAAAGAAATGGCCTTAATATCAACACCCAAATGGCATCTCCATCACATACTGGACATAAGGGCCCAGTTGTGAACTTTCTCTTTTGCCCTGCCGATCATTCTGTTTGTACTGTCTTGAGCTAAGACCATCCTGTTTTAATACTGTCACTTTATCGTTTACTTTAAGATCTTGCAAAAAGTACTGTTGACCCTTGAATAACATGGGTTTGAGCTATGTAGGTCCACTTATAGGTGGATTTTTTTTTATGAATAAGGCCCAGTACTGTGAATGTACTCTTCCTTAGGATTTTCTTATTAGCATTCTCTTTTCTCTAGCTTACTTAATTCTAAGAATACAGTTTAGAATACATATAACTTACAAAATATGTGTTCAGTATTTATCTTATTGGTAAGGCTTCCTGTCAACAATAGACTATTGTTAAGTTTTGGGGCAGTCAGAAGTTACACATGTATTTTCAACTGCGTGGGGGCTTGTACCCCTAACCCCTGTATTCAAGGGTCAACTGTGTATCATTCTTATTTTTATTTTCAAAAACATTCTATCTATTCTTTGATTCTTGAATAGTATTTTAGAAACTCCTCTAAAATTATTACAAAATTAATGCATATTAAGACAATATTGTTTGCAAATACTGACAAATCTATGGAAGCAAAGAAAGAATCCACACATGGGAAACAGTATTTTTTTTAAAGATTTTATTTATTTATTTGACAGACAGAGATCACAAGTAGGCAGAGAGGCAAGCAGAGACAGAGGAGGAAGCAGGCTCCCTGCTGAGCAGAGAGCCGATGCAGGGCTCGATCCCAGGATCCTGAGATCATGACCTGAACGGAGGGCAGAGGCCCCAACCCACTGAGCCGCCCAGGCGCCCGGGGGAACAGTATTTATTTAATTGAGAGAGAGCACGCACATGTTTGAGCAGAGGGAGAGATAATCCAGCAGACCCCTTGCTGAGTGCAGAGCCCAAGGCCAAGTTGGATCTCATGACCCTGAGCCGACATCAAGAGTCGCATACTCAACCTACTGAGCCACCCAGGCGCCCCAGGAAACACAGTATTTTGTATCTGCGAGAGAAGAGAGGACTATTCAGGTATTGATTTCAGACATGTGCTTATGTAACTGGAAAACATTACAGTGCTACCTCAGATTATATACAAAAATAAATTCTGGGAAAATTGGCAAACTCCACGAACAGTCAGTTTATAGACAAGGTATCCTAAATGGCCCAGGAACATATAAAAAGAGTCTTACTGACAGTGATTATCAGGGCAATGTATATAAAAACAACAATTAGATACCATTTTTCTACTGTCTGATTGGCAAGGTTACTTTTAAAACAATCTCTTAATATGTAGAGTCGATGAGCTTGCGAGGGAGTTGCTGGGAGGGTACGATCAGCGGAGCTGACTTGGGAAGAGCTACCCAAATTGAAAGCACACATCCTATAACCTTGTGGACGTACTCAGAGAAACAGCAGCACGGGCACACGGTAAGGGTACACACAGGCGGGCTCTACCAGTTAACTGAGATACTGAACTGTTTCCCATTCGGTTGGCAGACAGCCTCCACCTCACGTCCCGCAAGGGTCCTTGACTCCCGCTGCCCAGGCCACTTTAACCTTCTCCCTCTCCCCACCCCACCCCAAACTGTCCTGTGATCAACACCTGAAGAGTCAAAGTCAATGCCAGAGATTAACTCCCACATCCCCTTCCAGCTCTGGACCCAGAATCCCTTCAAATCATAACCTGTTCACATTCCCACCCACCCAGAAGGAGAGTGCTTCCCTTGCAGCTCCGAGCGGCCACGTGACTAGATGCCAGCCAATGAGAAGTGAACATGCATTCGTGTGGGATTTCTGGGAAATCTCGCGAGGCAGGAGGAACACCTTCTTCTCCTCCCTCCTGGCGGACCCGGGAGAGAGCAGGTGCTCTCGACGACTGCAGCACTCAACTTCAACCACAAGTAGTGGGACAGAGTCAGGGTTACCAAGAGCTAGAAGCCACCAGGCTGGCCCAGACCACCACCTTCTAGACTTCCTATAAATGAGACAGAGAATATCCTAGTCAAACTGCTGCTACTTTGGCTTTCTCGGTTACAGACAGCCACGTTTAATCACAGTGGTACAAAGGTAAATGCCTGTTAACAGGGAAATGGCTAAATCAACCATGATACGTAAATAATATAAATTGTAAGCAACTGGAGGCCTCATATATTTGATGAAATATTTTGCAGAGGTCGAGATAAATCTACAGGCATTACCATGAGCGAAAAAAGCACGGTGTGGGATGGCCTCATCATTCCTGTACTCTCCCCTCCAAACCCCTAATAAACTCGGCCGGGTTTTCCTAGTTTTCTAGACACGAAAGCACAGAAGAAAGACTAAAGATATACTATGTAAGCTGTGCAATGTTAAGAACTTCTGGGGAGAGAAGAAAAATTGCTGGGGGGTGGCCAAAGGGCCCCTTACCTTTGGCGCCGCCATCCCACCTTCATACAAAAGGAATGATTTGTGTACTACCTGTATGGTACAAATTAATTAGGTTTCCCACCTACCCACCAGCTGACCTTCTCAAACTGTTCACTTGCCTGCCGATCGCTGCCTGCAGGGTCCACATGTGAGAGTTGTCAGAGCTGAAGACTCAGACTTGCCAGGGCAGCCGCTTTGGCACACAGAGATTAGCTCAGGAGCCACCACCTGAGTGCTTCGTGTTGGGAGAAGTTCAAGGTTCTTTCAGAACCCCTCTGTCGCACAGATTGCATTGCTTACAATACCACTGCGTCTAAAAGAATGAAATCAAGGTATTAATCTACAAGGACAAAGGGAGAGGACACAACAGCTAATGAGAAATTACAGTAAAATACCGGGAGAGGTACCTGGCACCGCAGAGCCGAGAAACTTCAACCGAACACTGGAAACAGGAAGCACTGCTGGAGAGGATCGCCAAAAGCTTGGTAGTCGGAGGCATCCGGTGCTGCAGGAAGCAGGGGAAAGGTGCCGGGCTGAGCAGCCGGCCCCCTATTGCCTGTCATGCACACCATTGGGAGTGTGTGCTGCCCACTCTGTAGTCGCTTATTCTATAGGAAACATGACTCAGATGAGCTCCAGGCACGGAGATCTCACGGTGTGCAGAAAAAGGAGAGGTGTGCTGGTATGAACCAAGGGGAGAGGTTAAAATCACCCTCTTATTCCTGCCAGTGTCTTCTAATTATTTCTCATTTTGGAATGAGGTCAATTCTAAGATTCCTCATTGCTTGAGAATAGCGGGGAGGCAGGGGTGTGGGGTGGAGGGGAACAGTCCGGGCAGTTGGCTGTTTTAGTTTGGGCTTACTATCTCCCAACAGTTCTTACCACGTTGACAATTCTTTGGCCCCTGGGGTGGATCCTCTCTCTGGATGAGCTGAGAAGCCACAGAGGGCTTTCAACAGAAGGATCCCTCTCGTCGTTGAGAAGATCAACGGGTGGGGGCTAGATCCATCAGTGTCTGGTCAGGAAAAGGGAAACACTCTAGGTATGTCAAACTGAAATGATTTAATACAGGAGATTGGTTCTGAAAGTACTGACAGGGTAGATGGCACCAAAAGGGAAGGATGGAATTACTGCAAAATAAGGTCAGGAGCCACCCCCACGCAGGCTGGGGAAGCAAAAGGGAAAATGTTAGCAGAGCCCATGACTGCTACATGGCTGTGGGTTCTGGAGCATCTGCAACCGTCTGCAGCCTCGGGGACCACAGCCACACCCGCCTAGTGGCAAGCCAGGCGGTCACACTCCCACTACCATAGGATCCTCTAGGCCCCAGAGGTGTCTTAAGAGGTGGAGCATCTGCTACACTCATGAGTTCTGTGCTGTTGAGGCCACAGGAACGCCCACTTCAGCCTCCAAGCCACTCGAACAAATTCGAAGCCTGCCAGGATATTAGCAGTGGAGGTGGTGAGAGGCAGTCATATTCAGTATATGGTCTTGGGGTGGGGTGTGGACAACAGGATTCGCTCACAAATCAGATGTGGGGTATGACAGAAAGAGGTCAAGGTTAACCCTAGATAATTCTTTTAAAAAAAATTTCTTTTTTTGTGCAGAGAGTGCACAAGCAGGGGGAACGGGAGAGGGAGAAGCAGGCTCCCTGCTGAGCGGGGAGCCTGATGTGGGGCTTGACCCCAGGATCCTGGGGTTATGACTTGGGCTGAAGGCAAATGCTTAACCAACTGAGCCAACCAGGTGCCCCTAAAATTATTTATTTATTTATTTGAGAGAGAGAGAGAGAGAGAGAGAGAGATCGATATCACAACAAGGGGAAGGGGAGAGGGAGAATCAGACTCTTTGCTGAGCAGGGATCCTGATGTGGGACTCAATCCCAGGACCCTGAGCTGAAGGCAGATGCTTAATTGACTGAGCCACCCAGGCACCCCTAACTCTAGATTATTCTTGGCTTGAGCAAATGGAAGATGAGAATTGCCATTTACTTCGATGACCAAAATTACAGTGACAGCAGGTTTTAGGGAACTAGTAAGAGTTCTGTTTACATGACATGGTTAGGTGGAGATGCTGTTAGCCAGAAGACATTCCAGGGAAAGGAGCTACAAATGTGAGATACAGTAGTATACGATGGGATACACACAGGAGACCTCTGATGTCACTAAGGGAGGGAGTGTTGACAGAAAAGAGATAATGTTCAAGAACAAGTGCCTGGGGTACTCCAAGTGAGAGGTCAGGGAGGTAAAAATAGGCCATCAAAGGAAACAAGAGAAGCAGAAAAGTGGGAAAAACACCAGAAGGATGTGGCATCTTCCAATCCTGGTGACCAGAGTTTTGGGAAGGAAAGAGGGTCAGCTGTGCCACGTGCTGTGCCACTAAGATGAAGAGTTGGCTTCATACGATGGATGTCACTGGTGACCTCCAGAAGAACAGTTTCAAAGGGGAGGTGGGCGCATAAGTCTGACTGGGATGGGCTCAGGGTGAGGGGATGGGGAGATAGGGGAAGCAGTGAGGAGAGATCACCCTTGAGATGCTGAGTACAGAGAGGGATAAAAATGGTGCTCCAGTTGGAGGGGAAGGGGAGGTCAAGACAGGGTTGCTTGCCTCTCTTCTTTTGAAGATGGAAGAGATACCAATATACTGATACACTGATAGGAAGGACCCTGTGGAGAGGAGGCACTGATGACGAGGGAGATAAAGGGAATGCTGGCTGGAGTCATGTCCTTGAGCAGACAGGAGCAGACTGGATAGGGTGTACAGATGGAGGGACCAGTGAAGTATGGAGGAAGCAAGGCCATCAGATGATCAGGATGGGGAGGAGCTGTTGAGAAGAAGAGGAGAAAAGGAACCAAACACTTACATTGGAGAACCGAGAATGACTGGACAAGGGGAATGTAGCATGATTGCCAGGAAATGTGAAGGGTCCACTTGAGATTAGAAATGATGAATTTTAAGTGGGACTAGTCATCGTGCTTGTGCATTTGCTGTTTTCAGCTGTGTGGGTATAGGTATTGGGCACTGAGTGGGCAGAGTTGATTTTAAATATAGAAAATATAGCGCAGTGAGAGAGGGTCAAAGGAGTACATGGTTTAAGCAAAAAGTAACTACAGATCATGTTTATCTGTGCAGAAGGGGCATGAGGGGGGTGGTGATCAATGAATAGAAAATCCAGTCCTTTAAGATAAGTTATCCCATGTCCTCATGCTAAAGTCATTGTCCTCCAGGTGCAGGGGTCTTCAGGGGTGTTACCTGTTTATCTAACAAGCATTTACGGCACACTTGCCAGAAACTAGGTCCAAATGGATATGTGGTTACTTCCCTAGAAGCATCTGAACTATCAGGAAGATAAGTTGGATGGATCCAAAGCAGGAGGGATCTTGGGCGATTACTGAGAACACAGGTTGACTTTATTTATTTATTTTTAAATATTTTATTTATTTATTTGACAGAAAGAGATCACAAATAGGCGGAGGGCCAGGTAGAGAGACAGGAAGGGAAGCAGGCTCCCCGCTGAGCAGAGAGCCTGATGCGGGGCTCGATCTCAGGACCCTGAGATCATGACCTGAGCCGAAGGCAGAGGCTTTAACCCACTGAGCCACCCAGGCGCCCCTGACTTTATTTTATTGTTGATAAAATTGAAGTAGGTTGAAAGATGCAGAGCTAATTGAAAAGTACATATCTTTATCAACCAAAAGAAGTGAAAAAGAGAATTTATGGATGGATGTAATTGAAAAGTTTGCAGTATAATAATGGCTCATGTTTACCAAGAGCTTACTATTAGCAGGCTCTGTTCTAAGTGCATTACATTTATAATCTTGTTTAATCTCACTAGCGGACCCAGGATTTGAACTCAGGCAGCCTGTTTCCAGACACTGCACTCCTGGCCACTATGCCTTACTGTCTCTTGAAGAGCCAGCTTCAAGCAAAGCTGGATCCAAGGAGTCAAACACTATTACTGGGACTCAGTCTTTCCCTTTCCCTCTGCTTACTTACATGTTGAATTAGTTCACAAATGTGTTAAGTTCTCTCCATTCATGGTAGCTGCCAGCTTACCCCATCCTTAGAAAGCAAGCAAGGTATTTTCTCTTTCTGAAAGGACTAGACCTACATTGGTCTGTAGTTAATGATATGAAATAGATTCACAATATTGTCAAGTAAAAAAGCGTTTTACAAAACAGCAGATATGGGCTGATCCATAAACTAACAAACACATGTATAATTGGAAGGATATAAAAAAACATTAGTGATAGTAATTTCTGAGTATTTTTATATGGGGGACTTTTTTCTTTTTGCTTCTCAGAATTTTCATTTGTTTCTACATTCAGGATAATATAATCTATAATAATAATGTTGAAGGAAACGGAAAACTCAATACAAGCCACCAAATATATCTCCTCAAGTTGTTCTCCGCAGCTAGGTACTCTTCTTATACCACTAAGATCTGCATTTCAGAAATGGGTAGGATGGGGGGGGCGTCACCAACAGTGATATTCTCATCTGCTTCCATTTAGTTAAAGACAAGAAGATGAGAGGGAATATCCCCAGGTACTCTGCGTCAGCTCTGCTACAAGGTTAATGTCTTCCCTGACATTATAAATAATCCGCTTTGGGTCAATTTTGAAATGAAATATTCGTTCTTTCTTGGAAGCCTACCCCTAACAGGGTAATAGTTAGTGGTCCATGGTCCATCAAGGAGGAGAAAGGAGATCGGGAATCCAGGGGGAGTCCCAGCATGAATATGCAGCCCAGGTTCTAAGTACCAGGCTGATCGGGAACTAGCCATTTAGTCCCTGGCCCCCAAGGAGTTTACCGTCACATTAAGAACGCAAGATGGTAAGATATGGCGAGCAGAAGATTGTGTGGGTTTACATAATGCAGGATGGGAGGTGGGGCACGAGGCAGTTCTGACCCAAGGGAAGGCTGTGGGTGAAACTGATCATCAGCCTCCCTATTTGGGCCTTTTTTTTTTTTTTAAGTTTGATTGATTTTGGGGGGGGCGGGAGAGTGTGCGTGCGGGGGTGGGTGCTGAGGGAGAGAGGGAATCTCAAGCAGACTCCTTGCTGACCGTGGAGCCCGACTCGGGGCTGGATCTCATGACCCTGAGATCATGACCTGAGCCAAAAATCAAGAGTGAGACACTTAACCAACTGAGCCGCCCAGGTGCCCCATTCAGGCTTCCCCCACCCCCACTGGTTGTCCCCTTCTCCAGCCGACAGCACCTGGGAGAACAAGGGAAAAATCAATCTCCTTGAGATGGCTTCCACATTTATAAGATAGGAATACTAATAAGCCCTATCTCATTGGCCTGTTGTGAGGATTAAATGAGGTACTGCATCTGAATGCTGAGCCCAGGGCCTGGTGCTGAATAAATAAATGCTCAATACTTCGTGGCTATTACGTTGATGATGAATGCTGCTGACGGCACAAGTACACTCACATGGAGATGACAGAAGGTTTGAAACTTACAAGGTACTCAGCCATGGTTCCTGGCCTTTCAGATTTGGTTCCCTTCTGTAGGCAGCATCTGGTCCCTTGAATTTTCGCTCTCTGACTTCAGCCAGAGAATGGAGCACGCGGAAAACCTCTCATCCTCACTCCCAGTCTGTTCCTAAAGGTAGAATATTCATGCACACCCTCCAGCTCAGATGTGAACTCTGCACCTCATGCAACCTGCAAGACCGTGGGAGTCCATTTCACGGTTCTTGGTCTCTTAGGAACCACCCTGTTTGGAACATTTTCTCACACTTTCTCACACAAAACTAGGCTCTAGCGGGAACAGCATGGAAACTTAGGGCTGAATAAGGCTTGATTGGGTCCAAAGACTTAGGGGAAAGAAAATTTCCTTGTTTAATAATTTCAAATTCAAGGTCTTTTTTTTTTTTTAATTTTTTAAAAGATTTTATTTATTTATTTAACAGACAGAGATCACAGGTTGGCAGAGAGGCAGGCAGAGAGAGAGAGGAGGAAGCAGGCTCTCCGTGGAGCAGAGAGCCCCATGCGGGGCTCAATCCCAGGGTCCTGGGATCATGACCTGAGCTGAAGGCAGAGGCTTTAACCCACTGAGCCACCCAGGTGCCCCCAAATTCAAGGTCTTAAATGCAGGTTATAAGAGTGGAAGGGAGGATTCAAGAGAATGCTCATGCAAACGAGCAAACGAAGACTCAGAAAGGAAGGCAAAAGGAGGATCTGTGTCCTGTGATTGCTGTCCTGTGTATGTGCCCTGTTCCCCCACCTTCATTCTGTGAGCGACTGCTAAGTTCTTTTTCTGTGTGAGCTATTCCAAATCCCTCTTTCTGCTTCTATTAGCCCAAAGTTAGCTTCTGTTGCTCACAACTCAGTAGCCCTTCCTGGTTTATAAAAAAAGGGGGCAAAAAGGCAGACAGGAGTGAGAAGAAAATAAAACAAGGTCCAGAGAGGAATAGAGAAGACCCAGAAAAGCAGCCAGATCTTAGGACTATATCTGAGTTTTGAAGGATTCCAGTCCCAGTCTGTGCCTAATCCTCCCCGATGCTCTCAAAGAAGAATCACCGTACTTCTGGAAAAAAGAGAGGGGTGGGGGATGAGGAGCAGACATGTCTGCTTGTCTCACTCCTGAAAAACTCCACTGAAATCACGGTCACTACTCTGGTTGGAAAACCGAAGAGGCAAGTCTGCCTGGCTCTGATGGGTTGGAATACCCAGGCATTTCACAGATTATGAATTCAAGGATAAAAATAATTTTTAAATTGAGCCAAGTAGAGAATGATGAGAAAAAACTACACTCATTTTTTTTTTGCAAGAAAAAGTTCTTGTCAGAGTGAATTAATCCACATTTAACCTTGTAATTCTAACAACGAAGTGCAGAAATAACAGGTTCACAATGTGAAAAACTGTCAAAGGTGTATCTTAGAGCTCCTTCCAGCGTATTTGTTTTGACATTATTATTAAAAATGTGATTGAAGAATTAATGAAATTGTAACCAAACCCGGAGATGACATAATGCCAGCAGTGTGGTTCAAGCCTTGAATAATGGAACCCCAGGAGGTTTTCCTAGTTAATCCTAGCTCCCCATTTTACAGCTGAGCAAACCAAGGCTCAGAAAGGTCAACCCACTTGCCCAAGGTACACCAGGAATCAAGGGTCAGGTTGCTGCAATTCAACCTTTCTATGTTTTCTTTTTGAATAACTGAAGGCTGCACTGTGATTCAAGATTCAAGTAGCCATTTGTTAAAAACTGGAGCAGTGAGCTGATGAGACAAGATAAAATTTAATCAGGTCAGCTACATAAGGACCTACATGTTGGGTCCAAAAAAGCCCACTGTACAAGCACAGTATGGGGTTAGACATGCCTTAATCAGCAGCACTTGTAAGAGACCCTTAGAGACGGAACTTGGCTGTGAGTTTGAGATGTCAGCAGTGTGATGTAGCTACAAGTTAAAGATAATGGACTCAGAGGTGGCATTACTAGAGGCAGAGTTTCCCGAAGGAAGGTGAACCTCCTGGTGAACTTTGCACCCTACACCTGGAAGTCCTCATTGGGTCCCAGCTGTCAGGTTTTGGAGGTAATACAGATGTTAGTTTACGCCTGGGAGAGGAGCCTAGGATGGAATGCTTTTAGGAATGATCAAAAAAAGAGAGGGAATTGTAAAGCACTGTCATTTAAGAGCTTGAATCCTGGAGTCAGGTTAACTCTAGCCCTACTATGTGTTCATTAAGCCTTTATCGCACTGTCTGTAAATTAGGAATTATAAATGAGTACCTATCTCCAAAGACTAAGGAGGTAGAACATGTCAAGTGATACACACGTTACCGGCACCGGACAACCACCCAATAATTGTTATTATTAAGAAAGGGAGGTGATGTGAGGATAATGGTAACAAGCTCCTAGGCTTGTTAAATGAGTTAACATGGGAGGGCTTGAAACAAAGTTGGTAGTTGTGATCTGTAATAGAAGGATTGGCCTAAGGATTCTAGGATGGGCCTGGTTTGGGGACAGAATATTCTCTGGCTTGGGCTAAGGTCCACAGAGCCTGATCAGGCCATTCCCTGAAGAAGGTTGTTTATTAGTTTGTGGGAGGAGAGGGTAGAGGAGATGGTCACTCAGACATTCTGCGGGGGTAGCACTTGGTGAACGTCCAGGCACGGGGATTTGGCATTGCTGTGGGGTGACAGCTGCGTTCCTGGGCACCGTCCTTTAGGTCTGCTCTGATCCACTAAGGTGGCCACTCAGGGCAGCACTGGGTTTGGTCACACATGCCGGGTCTGGGCATGGACCCTGTGGGCAATTACTTGGGAATCATTCGAACCCCACGTGGAATTGTTCCTGGATCAGTCCTCCCCTCTGTTTCCTCCTCGCGTCCCTGGGTGAAATCTGCAGCACTCTGGATCTTAGGGACGCTGTGGGACCCCAGAACAGCTCCCCTGGGAGCAGTCCGCCGCTAGGGGGCGGCCGCTAAGAGAGGAACCAGCCCCGCGCGGAGTCCGCTCCTTTGGGGCTCACTCTCCCGACACGTCCCGGGAACGGTGGGGTGACAGTGGGGTGGGGGCGCATTCTTCACGGGTGTGAGACAGAGCGAGCCGCCTGCGTATGAGTCAGCGCGCGGGGGTCTAGGGAGCTCCGTGAATAGTCACGGAATCTCACTCACGCTCGGCTCCTCCACCCATCCCCGTCTAGAGCGTGTGTCCCAGTCCCGCGCGTGTGTTCGCACACGGCACGATGTCCGATTCCAGGCTGTGTGTGTGGTGAGATGGGGATGAGGGGGACAGGGGTGGGTTCCTGTCGTGTTTCCACGCCCATGTGGGGTGAGGGGGTGTGTCCTGGTCAGGGTACGTGTGTACCTGTGTGTGTGCGTACGTGTGTGTCAGTGTGGTGGGAGCGTGTATCAGTGTAGAGTGCTTGCGTCTGAGCCCGGGTCTGGATGTTGGCGCAACCTGGACCGGGGTTCCCAGCCTTGGGGGTGGTGGGGGCGTTCAGCCCCCCGAAGGAGTAAATGTCTCGTCAGCCCAAGCCGGTTCAGGGAGCGGCCAGCGCGGGGAGGGCCCGCGGTAGCGAGTCCCTGGGAGGGGCAGGAGACTGGGGGCGCAGGGGGCGGGCCAGGTCCCAGGGCGGGGCGCGGGCTCGGGGGACCCGCGCGGCTGACGTCAGGCGACTCCTTAAATAGAGCCGGCAGCGCGCGCGGCTCGGCATTTCTCGAGGAGCCCGAGCGGGGCCCGCGCCAGCGCCACCGTCCGGTCCGCGCGGCCGCGCCGCCGCGGAGCGTTCGGGGCGCCGCGCTCCAAGGGCCGGGCATGGAGCTTCGGGCGTTGGGCGCACTCCGAAGCCCGCGCACGTGAGACCCAAGGAACGCCGTCCGGAGCCCCGTGGCCCGGGACGCGGAGATGTGGGACGCGCAGCCGCCTGTGCCCCGAGGAGCCGCCGCCCCCGGGATCCCCGGGCATGGTGCGCGCCCCGGCGGGCAGCGCCCGGAGAAGACGGCGCCCCCCACGCTCGACCCGCGGGGCCGGGGCAGCGCCGCGCCAGCCCTCTAGGCGGCCGCAGGGCCACAGCAGCTCCGCCGCCGGCGCCCCCCGGAAACCATGACCCCCGGCGCGGGCCCATGGAGCCATGGCCTATAGGGTCCTGGGCCGCGCGGGGCCAGCTCAGCCGCGGAGGGCGCGCAGGCTGCTCTTCGCTTTCACGCTTTCGCTCTCCTGCACTTACCTGTGCTACAGCCTCCTGTGCTGCTGCGACGACCTGGGCCAGAGCCGCCTCATCGGCGCGCCTCGCTGCCTGCGCGGCCCCGGCGCGGGCGGCCAGAAACTTCTCCCGAAGTCCCGCCCCTGCGATCCCCCGGGGCCCACGCCCAGCGCGCCCGGCGCTCCCAGCGCGCCCGCCGCCGCCGCCGCCGCCGCGTCTGGTCCTCGCCTCCCGGCTGCCAACCACTCGGGCTCGGCCAGGATGGGCACCAAGCGACTGCCCCAAGCCCTCATCGTGGGCGTGAAGAAGGGGGGCACGCGGGCCGTGCTGGAGTTCATCCGCGTGCATCCGGACGTGCGGGCCCTGGGCACGGAGCCACACTTCTTCGACAGGAACTACGGCCGCGGGCTCGACTGGTACAGGTAAGGAGCGGGCGCGTCGGGTGCCCAGTCGGGTTCATCCTTAGGGCCTCCTCCTGTGTCTTCTCCTTAATCCGGTTCGCTGTGTGGGTTCAGGCTGACACGTGGGGGGGGGGGGGACTCCAGCGGGATTTACTCAGAACTTCCCAGGGATGGTGTAGACCACGGCGCGTTCCCGAACGGCAAAGGACAGTTGTTTTTGGAGGCGCCGGAAGGGAAGGGGGATCTCTAACCGAAGCCTCGGGGCGAGCCGGTGGGCTGCCTCCTTGTGCAGTCACGGGTGGAGCAGGGCGCCCGGGGAAGGGGGCCCTCTCCTGACCTTTGCCGATCTTAACAGGCATCTGAAGGACCCTGAGCAGGGAAGGTCACAGTAGGGCCCCCTTGTGGCAGGGCCCCGCGCTTGGGTGGAGAGGCCCAAGGAGAGGTGTGGGGATGAGGAAGGTCCCTTCTGGAGGTTCATTCCCAGCTCCCGGTGTTCGCCGCTGTGCCTCCTCTGGGAGCACCCAGTCGCTCTGACCCTGAGTTATTGGTCTTGAGTGGTGGAGGGGAACCTTGGATTTCAGTCATGCTCTGTGACTTAGCTTGAGCAAGTATTTGGATCTCTTTGAGCCTCGATTTTCTCATCCATCGTAATGGGCAGGAAAACTGTCCCTGCCCTTAACTGCTTTCCGAGGTCTTTCTCAAGTGCCTTCAGAGTGTGAAAAAGACACCTGTCCCTGGGTGGTACTTCCAAACCAGCAGCCAGGGTGTGGAATTTGGGATACTGGTGGGCACCTCAGATAAGGGTTGGCTGGATCCTGGGGAGAGCCAGTCAGAGACTGTCCAGTCCTCTGTTGCCCTGCCAGGGATGACAGTCACCAAGGCTAGTGGTGTGTAGGGATCGCCTGAAGCTTCTGGAAGGTGACTGCCTTTCCTGTTCAGTGCCCATCGGCTCCCAATCCCTGCATGGTGCCATGGTGTAAGACTGGCCCAAATGTGGGCTGAATCAGGGCATCCCCCAGGGTGGTGTAATGTAGGGACTCCCCATACCACATGGGTCACAGAATTCCCATCATCACCTGACCCCTTGAAGACCATCTGAAATGTCTGCGTAGTCATACAGCTGGGGAGGAATAACATGGTAGCTGACACAGGAACTAGAGCTAATTTTTTAAAATGTTTATAAAAATAAGCCCTCTAGGGAGTAGAAGTCATAAGCATATTGGACAAATGAAAACTTCGTTAGAAGGGGGACCCCACTGGGCTCATCTAAGGGGACCTGTATTTGCAAGGGGGTAGCGGGGCCGATAGGCCTGACTTGCGGTGTTTGTGGTTATGGGGCCAAGGGATGGGACAGACACTGTCCTCAGGAGGCGGACACACACCGTCTCCCGTGGAGCCCAGCAGGGGATCCCCGGTCTGTTGGTGGTCCCGACACCGCTATGTTGGCTTAATGGAATAGAGTGACACAGGTCTGGTGCTTTCCACGCTCTGACCCACAGGCATCCTACCTGGGTGTACGAGGTGTGTGAGGACGGCTTCAGAGCCAGACCTCAGGGTGAGGGAGGCAAATGCGTGGAGCAGCAGAACCCTGTGTGGGTCAGCTGTGGTCACGCTCTTATGCACAGTAGGCTTTCCTCTATGGAAAATCTGAAGATTATTATGAAACCCTTTGCCACTACAAAGTGCCTTTTAAGTGCAAAATAGCAAAATTTTGAGCATCTGGCTTTTAGATATTGTGTCTTCCAATAAACACCGGTACCCCACACCCAGCTTCTGCACTTCCCTCTCCTGGGTTCACCAGCAAACAACTTACCCCAGCCTTCCTTCCCAGAGCCCGTGTCATTCAGGGATGGCTGCTTTTTATTTTTAACCTTGGCATGTGTGATTCTAAGCCAGCTTAGCTGTGAACCTTAGAGATGGGAGCCGTGCCTTTTTTTTTTAATTTTTTATAGCACATTTGGATTCTGCTAAAATTCTCAGCTGAGTCTTGGTAGGTTTTATTTAACATTAAGCACACTGACAGCTCTACTTCTCTCCTCCACCCCACTTCCCAGGGTCTGAGTTACCCTCCCTCTCAGCCTTTGTATTTCTAGAACGATGAGCCCAGAGGTCTGGCGCAGACTGCCCCATCCCACCACTTCCCCAGGAGAGCCGGGAGTGTACAGCTCAGGAAAGGGCTGTGTGGTTTGCGTTTCTCTCTGTTGCAGACCCACACCCTCAGAGTCTGGGGGTTTGGTTGTGGATTGCCATTTCTAGGTAATACTGCCCCATCTGGGTGCTGTTTTCAGACTTCCCAGAACATTTCTCTGTTTGTGCTTTATCCTTTATTACTAGTCAAGAAATATGCATTAATTTGCAGAAGTGACAGGGATTCCTGGGATCCTTTAAAACCCACATTCTCACTTTATCCCCAAATTCTGTGAGTTTGGACAGCAGGTGATAGGATGCTCCTCTTTTCTGCCCATGGCCCATCATTTTACAGGTGTGAAAACTGCAGCCCCCAAAACGGAGAGCGCCTGAAAGGGGGTTGCAAAGCAAATTGGTAAGCCAGAAGTCACCGGCATGCAGTATCCCACCGAAATCCACACGTTTTCGTGTGTGTGCGCACGTGAACGGTCGCTTGTGCGTTTCCAGCCCAGTGCTCTGACTCCCACTCTGCACAGCTGGCCACTGTAGGGCCGGTGCCCACCAGGTAGACATGGCCAAAGAGCCCTGGCAGACTTTTCCAGAGGTGGGCTTCAGCATGGCACAGTAGTAGGGCATGGATCGCATTATAATCTGCCCACGGCCAAGCCCCCGGGGGGCAACTTCCTGGGTCCCAAGGCCCCACTACAGAGGGACAGTGGGAAAATCCAACTTCAGTCCCAGCCCGAAGGAAAGCCTGCTTTCTGTGGAGCTGAGTGGAGAGGTGACGCCTGGAGCCTGAAGGTGGAGTGATACAGCCAGAGAGACCAGGTGGCAGAATCTGTGCCTGCCTTGTGTGGACCCCGAGCCCCTCTTGGGAACCAGCCCAGTTCGTGCCGCCCTCGGAGAGCCAGCCCTAAGAAACCTTAGAAGTTTCTCTGAGTTTCATCCCCTGCGCATCTGGCCTGGTTCCCCTCTCCCAATTTCCTCCCCATGGTGGCAGCCGAGCCTACGGGATGGCGTCGGCTGGAGGCTTGGACAGGTAGGCAAAACGACAGCAGGCTGACGAGGGAACAGGGGAGGGCCTCCAGACGCTGCGGGATCGGGCCACCGTGGTGCCCCTGCATCTCGGCTTCCTCCTAGAATGGGGCCGGCAGCCACATCGCAGAAGGTGGTTTTGCAGAATGAATGAAACCCCTTGTGGGCAAATGCCCTGGGAAAGTCCGTGGTGTGTAAAGATCACTATTGCCTGTGGCTACTAGTGCTTCCCTATCGACGCTTCGGGATTGCCCATAGTACTGAAAGTTGGGGGTCTCCAGCCCTGCCGCTGTTACCAGACGGGGCTGAGGGATTGACGAACTGCTGGAAAAGTGGTTCCGTGATAGACGAAGCAGGGTCCCGAGTCTTAAGTTCCAGTTCCAGCTGTGCTTTCATTTGCTTTTTAAAAAAATTTTTTGGTCTTCTATCTCTCTCCCCCAGCCCCCGTCCCCCTTGCTTCCTCCTGCGTCGATGAAATGTCACTTCACATTTCTGGGTGTCCGTTTGCTCACCTTGAAAACGGAACTGACGTCCCACCTGCTTTACAGTCTCAAACTCGAGTGAGACAGAGCATGCGAAGAGGTTGCTCCCCATCTGAGGTCCTATGCGGGACGCCCTCGTGGAGCGACGGATGGGTGTGAGGCAGAATGACTCTTTGGTCAGGAGATACACACAGTGCATCGTCCAGTAGTTTTTCGAGTCTTAGGGGGAGCTGAGTGTCGTCGGAAGTGTTCCGGATTTTGCTAGTTTTCCGGGATGGCCAGGGGGTGAGGGCGGGGTGTCAGGAGGAACTGAACCTTCTCTGAAACGCATCAGAATGCCACCACGAGCAAGCTGAGACCCAGTCATTGACTCTGGGCCTGGTGACAGCATTTTGATAGATGAGCCTGTGTAAGCCTTAGACGTCACATCTCAGGCTATTTGTTCAGCGTCAGTGGTGCTGGGGAGGGTGTAAGGCAGAGACGACACAATGCACACCCCCCCACCCAGACGCAACCGTCTAAGTAGGACAGGGAATCCAAAGCCGAGAATATGGTCTGTCACTGCTTCCGGCTCCTCTCGATCAAGAGTTGAGATTCTAATAGCAAAGCCAAACTTTAGAAAGAAATAAGACCAAAGGCAGAAGGCTCCACCGTCTTTTTTTTTTTTTTTAAAGATTTTATTTATTTATTTGTCTGAGAGAGAGAGGGAGAGCGAGCGAGCACAGGCAGACAGAATGGCAGGAAGAGGCAGAGGGAGAAGCAGGCTCCCTGATGAGCAAGGAGCCCGATGTGGGACTCGATCCCAGGATGCTGGGATCATGACCTGAGCCGAAGGCAGCTGCTTAACCAACTGAGCCACCCAGGCGTCCCCGGCTCCACTATCTTTAACCAGCTGAGCAACACATGACATGGGCTGCTCGGTGCCCGTCAGGTGTGCGCCCACCCCACATGTGTGCCCTTGCACGCACGATTACAACGTCCGTGCAGACACAGGTTTTTGGAGTTTTCCTGCCTCCGTCCAGGAGGATGTCATCCATGCTGATGCAAGGGAATCATGGAGTCCATAAATCCCCCGTCCTTTACCTGCTCGCTGTCAGCTGGCAGCGGGCCAGAGATGGCATAGTTAGCTCTAGCACGTGTCCGGTTGTCAGGCACCGAGGAACATTCATCGGGGGCAAGCACGACGGTCACGGCTCAGAGATGTGTTTTGAAGAGCCAGCTTCCCTCCCCGCTGGAGTTCCCAGGGACGGTGGGGGAGCGCGCCCTGGCACAGGCTGTCCCCACAGCCTCTGGTGTGTGATTGTTCCGGGGGGGAGACCCTGACAGCCTTGGTGCTTTTCAGTGCCACACTGTTAAGGTTATTCTGGATGTGAAAAT